GCGGATCGTCACTGTCTCGCGAGTCGTGACGAGGCGCGTCGTCCCCCCCTCCCGATTAATTACCTTAATTGCGACGAACGTTACGAATGTCTCAAAGAGGCAGCCGTCGAGGACGAGGGGGAAGTCGTACGGCTTTTACCCCCATGAAACGTTCGCAAGGCGTCGAGACGGTACTCGCGTCGCAGATCCGAGGATTCTCGAGTGTTGATTTTTCTCGTCGATGCAGAGGAGAATCTCTTTGACGATAGATAGTATCCACGCTTAAAACACGGAGCGTTTTGAGATCGTTGCTCGACTCTCGTTGGAGGAAGAATTTTAATCGAGTGAATTTTTGAGAATAAATTTTTGCGAAAGTAAATAAATTTTTGAGAGAAATTACGAGTATAAAAATATAATGATAAAATTTGGATATAATCTTTCGAGAATATTTCGAATGTTTTCGTTCATTTGCGTTTCTATGATTATTTAAATAAATGTTTTTGTTTTTGGAGAATATTAAAAATTTCTTTGAAACTGGAATAACTCCGTGTTTTAAGAATTAATATTAAGTCACAGTTAATATTTATCATGCCCGCTATTAGCTAGATTGATTAAATTAAAATATTCATCAACAATAATTATAAGTAATAACAGGATAAAACTCGATGAATTTCCAAGCAAATACTTAATCTGCCGATAATATTTCCTAAAAATACCTCTGTAAGTTGACAGTGAATACTTATCCAAAGTATCATTCCACTTTTCAAAGTAAAACTATAAATCGTTCTAAATTATCACATTTGTTGTGTCATTCTAAATTTTGATAGATTTCTGCGAATTAATTTCTTTCATTCCATAGACTGTTTGTAATTTTTCCATTCCATTATCTTTATCCCATCACTTCGGATACAATTCTGGTGCCGTTTCTGACAAGCGATTGCAATTGTTGAGCAGCTCCCTGAAACATAAAGAGGGAAATACTGCATTATTTATATAAGAAAAAAATTTAAATTTTTGGACTAAAACTCAAGCAAAAATATAATATTACAAATACATTTCTATCTGAATAAAACCCATTATTTAATTTTGTCAAAAGTATCTGTATATCTTCTAGTAATTATGAAAACAAGTAACCAATATTAATTAATAATTCTAATAATTTTTCTAATCAAAAAAACCAATTTCATAAATATTCATTTTCTAATTTCTCTACATATAACAATAATCACAATTCAATTTTATATATCCCGTCTCTTCCTCTATTGTCCATCCACCAAGCAAACCAATAAAAAATTAGAATAATCAAGATTTTAATTTTAATAACCACAATACAACTTACGCTTATCGCTGCACCGAGAAATTGGCTGAACGCTCTGGTAGCACCGAATAACGCGCTATTTCCAGAATTATCGCCTCCACCGGGCGACTGTGCCGGGGTACCGTAATTGGAGAAGGAGCTGAAGAGGGATGGTGGATACGTGGAGCTCGGCGACCAGGTTGTTGTGCGTATCCTTGGTGCCGAGGTTGGTCTCGGTGTCACCGTCTTTTTCGTGGTGTCGGTAGGTCGGGTTGCACCACTCGATGCCGGCCTTGTCGTAATTGTCGCCGACTTGGCCGCTGTGGACTCGGTCGGAGCAGAGGTGACACTCTGCCCAAGGCCCTGTTACAAGACGAGCAATTATTTTCTTTCATCGCGCCTCGCTCTTTGTTGCCTCGCGCTTCGCCCTTGCGATTCGATTAAAGTATTCGCCTCGAGCCTCGAAATTCTCCAATTTGTTGGAGAATTATATTACATCGTTAAATTTATTTTTTCTTTTTTTTTTTTTTTTGCGACTTTGATTTTTATTGGGGTTCGAGTTAGTTGAATAATTTGATTTTTCGATCAAACCTTTAGAATTTCGAGTTTTGATTGTTGAAAATTTTATTTCAGAATTCCATTTTAATTCAAAAATCTTTTTTCAATCTTATTGAAAAATTCAAACTTAAATAAATAATTTGATATTTACTTATAATTAGTAATTGTTTTTCTTATTTAATGCCGATATTTCTGTTACGTTTAAAAATATAAGAAGTATTTCATCGATGAAACTCACCGCCAGCTGCAATTGTTCCCTGATATTAGTGGCCGGAGTCGATGGTTCTATTCCTTGGGCCTTTAACAAAGCCGCCAACAAAGCAGCGTTACTGATTTCTGTCGTCGATGATGGCATTGTTGTTGTTAAACCTCGACCGTTCAAAATTGCTCTTAAGAAGGATTCATCATCTTGAGTTAACTTTGTCTTCTTCGAGGAACCAGCCTTATTATCTGTAATAAAACGGAACGATATAATAACAATGATCAATTGTTCTAATAAATTTCAAAATTACAGCAATTCCAGAGTTTAAACAATTTTTTACACGAGATATTCAATTAAAACTCACCTTGCTCAACAGCACGCAGAAGCTCAACCAAGAATTTTGCATCTTCTTCAGGAGAATAGGTTGACGTCACCACGTTAGGCAATCGAGGATTTGGATTATTGATCAATGGTTTCTTCGTTGTAGATATTGGAATCGACGAGGCCACCGACTTATCCTCTACGATCGAATTCGGACTGCTCACTTGAATTTTCGAAATGTCCACAGTTTTCAAAGTTGTGGCGGAAGGAGCAGTTATCGTTTCTGATCTCTGCGTAGTTTGAATCGGTTTTGGAGTGATATTAACGGACTTTGGCGCCGTCTTTACAGATTTAGCCTTCACAGGTTTAGGAGTCGTCGTTGATGCGAATAAACCTCCACCGAAAAGAGTCTGCCATAGAAGACTGCCAAAGCCTAATGGCGCTTGAGTGGTGGTGGTCCTAGGTCGAGGAGTGGTCACTGATTTAATGGTTACAGGAGCTTTAGTGGTGCTTATCTGAGTAATTTTGGCCGTGCTCGATGCAGAAACTGTATTTGTTTCCACATCTTTTTTGCCGGTCGTGGTTATAACTGGTTTCCAAGTCAATTGCTCGGGTGTCGAACCACTTATTATCGATTTTTGACCGGTTGATTTCTGTGTCTGTGCAGTCTTCCACGTGGTTGTTGTAGTGGTCGATGATGGAGACAAATCAATCACTATTGGCCTCGAAGTAGATGCGGATTCGAAAATTGAATTTGGCGTAGCATTTTCAATACTTATAGCTTTCGGCGCTCGAGTTGATCCTTGTCCTGCTTGGTTCAATGCTAGAGACAAGATCTGGAAATGCAGTATAAAATAAAATAGAAATAAGACACTTCTTTTTAAAACACCTTGTATATTTTAATTCTAAAATTATTTGGATTCCTTTAATTAATTATCCTTTTTCATTCCATCCATTGATCAATCTAAAGTGAATCCTATTACAAAAAAAAAGAAAATCGCATAACTTCTCATTTATTCGATCCACAAAAATTTATAATTTTCAAAATTCGTATCATAATTACAATCAAATATTGAATTACAAAATCCAGCGAAATACTCAAGTAATCGCAAAAACGGAAGAAGAAAACAAAATCTTAATCTTATATATCCTTCCTTTCGAAGCAAGATTAATTGTATTTTACAGATGCCGCGTCTACTGCTAATAGCTTTATTTACAAACGATGATATAAAAGCCTTTATTGCTGTTATATTAATGTCATCCATCCGCGGCGCGTTAAGCTCCGCATCGACGGTCAACGTTATCGAGAGATGACATATCGGACAACTGTTGCGCGGAATAGAGAAGGCCGTTGGCAAGGTTGTTCCAGTCCATTCACCGTTGCTGTTCGATCGTATATGTGATTGCGATCGGCGTAGATCCATCATTACGTCTTTCCAAGAAGGGCGTGACTAAAGATAATCCGCGAGATCTAACGAATTTTTATTCTCGCGTTCGATTTTCTCATAGTCGATTGCGATTTTATTTATTATAGGAGCGGAGGGAACGCGAGAAAGGAGATTCGGTTGAAAAGGGAGGAAAAAGAGGATCGGGGCACGAACGCGTTAGAAACAAAGTACAGTTCGTTGCACAGTTGTGCAAAGGAGTGAAAGGATAGCGTTGCACAGCGTTTGCATAGCGACTCGTTCCTCGATTTTCTCGCCGTAGATCGAACGATAATTGCGTATACTGTTCTGGCGAGGATCGCGTTTATTGGTTCAATGATAATTCCGCTTCTTCTAATTCTGTATCATTATATTTTATGCGAAAGAAATGATTTGGAGGAAGATTATACCTTTTTTTGTTGTGATTATTTTCTTTTTTGTCAAGCCTATTTATTATATATACGGAAAACGATGCGAAAAATGTAAAAATATCGAAATAATATTGCATTTGTTACTTACCTTATTTGCTAAGAGCTGTTCGACTTGGGTGAGTGTTCTCTGAGTGCTGTTCCGTGAATCATTCTGTAACTATACAAAAAAAATTATAAAATTATTAAACTGTAAATATGTTATTAAATGTAATTAATCAAAAAAATTGATATACTCACCAATGAATTCAAGAAAACTAAATCATCGATCGAGGTACCAAAAGCATTTTGCTGTGGCCGATTTAATAAATTCATCATTTGTACATTCGTTTGAGAAGTTTGTGTTGCTGTTGCAGACTGTGAAGTAGATGCAGTTGTTGTAGTTGTTGGTTCCCTTGTAGTTGTCGTCGATGCCATTGTGGTTATAGTTGTTGTTGTTGTTGTGGGTGCCATTGTAGTTGTAGTTGTTGTAGTTGGTGCCATTGTAGTTGTAGTTGTTGTAGTTGGTGCCATTGTAGTTGTAGTTGTAGTTGGTGCCATTGTAGTTGTACTAGTAGTAGTTGTTGGTGCCATTGTGGTTGTGGTTGTTGTCATTGGTGGCAATGTAGTGGTGGTAGTACTACTACTAGTAGTAGAAATAGGAGTCGTTGATGTAATAGGCGTTGTTACTGGCGGTGGTGGAATAGTTCCTATGTTGCCTCTTGGAACACCAATCACGCTAGAAAATGGAGTGAAAACCTCGACGTATGGATTGATTGGACGTGGCAAGGCTGGATTATTCGATTCCAATGTGTCCTCCTGAGAAAGAAGTAAAAAATGAATTTATAAAATAAATTTCAAGAAATTTCAAAGCATAATAAATAAGCTTCGTAAATTTTTAAGTTTATTCTCAAGAAGATGAAATTTATTACAAACCAACGTATTTGATGCTACTGATGCGGTTATAACCGGCGAGGATGTAGTAATACCAAAGATTTGATCCAAAGGATCTCTCCATGGAAATCCAGGAGGGGCTGTGACTTGATTTCCTGGCTGATTATTCAAAAGATTATCAAATGATGGAACCGAAGGTGATGGACCGACATTTGCGGCACTCTAAGTAACATAACAAACAGAAGAAATGAACAAGAAATAAATAAATTTCAAAATCATCTTCACAAACAACGAAAGAAAATAAAACTAATTAATAATTATTGATACATCTATCTTTAAGATTTTTTAACATATTTAAAAAAAATATCCCAAAAATTCTTTTTATAAATATATCCTCGATAAAACAAGCAAGGAAAAGACTCGAAAGTCGTTTAATTCCTTTCGTTTTGGTTTTAACTTACAGCTACCGAATTTATATTCACACTGAGAGCGCGTGGGTTAGCGGTGGAAGCCCCATTGGTCCAATAATTGACGAACTTGTCCTGAAACATTCGACGTTGTTCTTTTTTTTTTTTTCTTTCCTTTTACTTTTTTCCCCTTTGCAGAGATATGTTGCAGCGCTGAAAGAATCAGCCGCGGCGTCGTTGTAAATCATGTTCTGTCTTTCTTCCTTTCTTACCTGTCCGATGTACACGGAGCTGCGTTGACCTCCGGCCTCTTTCGTCCTGGTGGCCTCGTCCCTCTCTCGATCTTGGACGATACGACCGCCCTGCAAAACGGTCGGCGGTCGACCGGTACTTACTATCGGCGTCACCGATGCTGTCCCCATTTGCGTATTCAGCAGGGCATTGCTCTAAACAATGCGAAATCGTAAACGTTATCTCTTAAACGTTTCTAAAAGTTAGTTACAGTATCTCTGAAGATGATACGTGAGATCAATAGCGAAAGTTTGATCGATCGTTCTGAATTATTCAAATATTTTGAAAATTAAAGTATTGGATAGATAACAGATAAGTTTTGTGGATAGAGATATTTTCTTTCATTTATATGGAATATAATTGTTGTGGAGAATTTGATAAAAAAGGTACGGATTATATTTTGTGATGAAATAAGCCGTCATATTTTGGGTCAGATAAGAATTTGCAATAGTGGTATTTATATTTCTGAAATGAAAAATATTTATAATTGGATTATAATTTTATTGTTGTATCGAGTAAGATACAAAATAAATGGATCAATGGAACGATGGATCAATATTTCGCTAAGCTCGATCACGTGTAATTTAATTATTGGGGATGAATGACGAGTGAAAACGAGGTATTTTCGCAATCCTAATCCTATAAGAGTGAAGAGTTTATCGAATACCATTTATAAAAGTGTTAATTTCATTTTCTATTCTTTTTTCTTTTCCTTCTCTGTTATGGATGTTATGGATACTTTCGATTTTTAAGTTATTGTAATTTTGAATTGACGAAAAGAAATATAAAATATATAATATTTTTGATACTATTGTAACATTAAGTGCGTTTCAACATTACGTGCGCGGTGCATAAAAAAAACAAACATGCGATATATAATGTACAAATTATTTACAAATATACAACGAAGAATTATAATATAATATTGTTTACTCTGAAAAATTAAAAGGTTTTATCAAAAATAGAAAAAAAAAAAAAAAGAAAAAAGAAATAAAATAACAAGATACATTGGAAAAGGCATTTGATAAATTCTTTTGACGAATTCTTTTGATAAAACCGAATCAAACGAATTATTTTAAAACAAGACATTTGTATAATATAATTAATAAACACGAAGTTGGAAAATTAGTACACTACTACAAAAAATCTACTTCAACAAAACCAAAGCGTTAAACAAGAAGCAAGTACACATGTGCCATTGTGAACATAAAAATTACATCAACATTGAGAGACATTAAAAAAAAACACATTCAAAAATATAATACATCTATTAATAAATTGAAAAGTAAAATAAAATAATCTAAAATAAAATAAAAAATTACTAGAAATTCTAAGGAATTTTAAAAAATCGTTCATAAACTTTGTCAATGGACATTCACAAAATAAATTCATATTCATAAAAATATTATTAAATTTTCCTATTCTAAGAAGATTACAACAATCTCATAAAACCTCTAAATCCGAAATATCTAAAGCACTTACATGCAATAACCACTATATTAAAAAAATTCTCCAATTTTATGCAACAATGACACATTTATTCCATGTTTGATTCGAAAAGAGGCAAAAGTGAGACGCGTTTCGAACGACTCGTATCGACAACCGATGGCTTAACGATCGATGATGATGAACAGGCGGAATAAGAGATACCATTTCGTTGGTGCTAGCAGGGGTACCAAGTGGCCCCGTATTATCGGGTCCACCTCCATTAGGGCCGACGATCGCGTTACCAGTAAGGCCAAGATCAACGGTGCCGGGACTTTGGACGTTTCTCATCGGTTCAGCGACAGGTATACCGTTATTATAGTACACAGGGCCTCGATACTGATTGTAAGTGCCTTGGTTAGCCTGGTTATAATACGGTCTGGGTGGTGGCCTGTTAGTGGTAGTTGTAGTGCTAAGTGAGAACACAACCTCGACCGGGCTCCTAGGTGGATCCGGTATTATCGTTCCATTCGGGAATTTCCGGACCAGCCTCCCGTCCGGGAAGATACCGAATATCACGTACGGGCTGTCCACGTTCCTAGCGTCGATCAGGTTGTCCTCTGGCCGTTTCCTCACGATCGTTTTATTCGGATAAATCCCGTACACCAGGTAATCTCGAAGAGGAGCCTTGGTGGTCGAGCTCAGGCTGAAGCGTGGCGCTGGTGTCAATCTGCTGCCACCGAATCGACCCAGGTACGGCGTCGTGGCGGTCTGAGAAGACGGAGTGGCCGAAGGACTCGTCGATGATGCGATCGTCGTCGCAGCACTAGTCGTTTGAGTCGTTTCAGTACTTTCAGGAGCCATACTCGTGGCGTCGTTCGTACCACCTTGGCCATTGGTCACCGACGACACGGTGGTCGTGGTTTCCGTCGTCGAAGTGGATCCAGTTTCGGTGGAGATCAGATTCTCTTCTATATTGACAGTGGTGGTCGGAACCGTGGTAGTAGTCTCCGTCACCGGGGTGACGGTGAACACGTCCATTCTCGTTGTTTGAGGCGTGGACGTTCCACCGTCAGCAACGCGTTCTGTACTCGTCATCGTGGTCGTGGTCATGGTCGTCGTGGTCACGGTCATCGTGGTCATAGTCGTCGTGTCGACCGAAGACGAAACGGTCGAGTCGGTGGGAAGGGACGAGGAAGCGGAGGATTCGAATGTGGATGATGGGACGGTCGAGGAATCTTGGGTCGTGGGAGTAGTGATCTCGGTCGTTTGGCCGACTCCTGAACCTGCCGTCCCTTGGGCGGTTGTTGATGTCGTATCCTGGAAACGGGCAAGAATAATTGGAGTTTCGTTCTCGGGGTTGGGGGTTGTTTGGGGGACGCTTGTTGTTTCGTTATTAATTTCCGTGGCGGGCATTGGACTCGGTATTAGCGGAGGGGGCTGGTTAGTAGTTACTCCCGTGTCATCCGTGGAATTAACATCCTGGGCGGTTGTAATCGGTGGCGTGGTGGCTTCGAGGGTTTCGTTATCAGTGGTTTCGCTCACAGTCACAGGTGCCAACTGCGTTGTCGTGGACATTGCTTGGTTAGTTTCCACATTTTCTACGCCGTTTACGGTTTCGATCGAGTCTACGCCAGGTGCCATTGTAGTTTGCTCTGTGTTCGTATCGAGGGATGTCGATGGTGTGGTGGTGATCGTATTTACAGAGGGAAGTGTGGTTACGTCGGATTGATTAGTACTTGTCTCTGTCACAAGCTGCGGTACAGTTGTGAAACTGGTTAATGGCACAGTGGTTTCTACGGGTCCGGTGGTGGTAATCTCGGTTGTTGTTCGAAGACCAGTCGTCGTGATTAAATCGAACGTGTTAGTGGTTAGTTGAAAATTCGTGGTAGATATCGTTTCTGAATTTTGTGTACTGGTGGTGGTTGTCTGTGGCCGGGTCATGGTAGTTTCAAGACCATTTTCGAACGATTCTGTATTCGACTGAGTGATTCGTGGTCCGATCTCGGTCGTAAATGAGGGAGTCGTTGACTCTACGATTTGAGCAAAAGATTCTAATGCGGTTCCGTTCGTTTGTACACTTTCTACCTCATTATCGACGCTAAACACGTTTCGAGGGGTGGTTATAGACGTGTCTGACGAATTTTCAGAAGATACCGTTGTTGTGACGGAATTTGCGAAGTCCACTTCGTTCTGAGAAGGGTCAACCGAGAATATGGTAGATGTTGACTCTATGCTTTCTGTCGTCACGTCTGGGGAAACGGACGTCGATTCTGCAGCTTCGGTTGTACTGAGTTGTACAACATTCGACAAACTCGGACTGTCTACCTCGTTTTCCAAACTAGACGTGTCGTTTAAATTTTGCCCTGCTGTCATTTGTTCGTTCATCTCTTCCGAAAAGAGTGTCTTGGCAATGGACATTAACTCTGTTAATAAAGTATCGTTGGTGGAAGTGATCGTCGATGAAGTGGTTACTTCAACGTCTAATTGGGGAGTCGTTGAACTGTTCGAATCACCTACGGTTGTAGAATCTGTGTTCGAAATTGTCTGAGAGTCTTGTGTAACTATTGTTATTGTTGTTGTTGGTGGTGTTGTGGTTGTGACTACATTCATATCGTCCCGCGTATTGGCTTCTTGAATGGGTGACGAGGTAGTGATTGAACCTACTGCGCTCTGAGTGCTCATTTCTTCACTTCTTAAACTCGATTGATCCATCGTGACGGACGACAAGGTAGTCGTTTCTTCCTTCATCTGCGACAAAGATTCCAAACTACGATTGTTACTCGCTTGATTCGATATCTCGGTCAACTCAACAGGGGAGAACGTGGTCGAATCCACGCTTGGTACCGTGGTAGACAGGCTGGCTTGCAATCGAGACAGAATATCTTGTGCAAAATCTATCAACCTGTTTCGAATCGTGGACACAGGTATCGCCGTGGTCGTCTCTACGTCGATCATATTACTCGAATCTGCTTCTGTCGTGGGAGCATCGGTCGAGCTGGGATCGGTTGTCTGAGTGGCAATCGTATCAGAGAAGGGTATGGTATTAGTCTCGGGATTTTTGAACGTGCTCGACATGGTGGTAACAGTGCTGGTCTCCGTTGTATCCTGCGAAACTCCTATCGTCGTCGATGAAACATCACCGACGGTTGACGTTAACTGTTCCGTACTTTGCGCATCATTGCTACCAACAGTGGAACTCTCCTCGAGTCGAATAGCAGGTTGGGGCGCAGAACTAATCATAGGAGTCGTGGACACAGGATTCATAGTGGTCATGGCAGTCGTAGTCGCAGAAATATCCGTGGATGAACTTACGAGTTCCTGAGTGCTCGAACTACCATTATCTACCATTGCAGGGGTCTGGGTGTCTTCCGCGCCTCCCACGCTCGTCGTCGTTGCATCTGCAACCCGTGAGACCGTCTCTGTAGTGGTCTGCTCGGTCACGGACATGGAATCGCCGCCCGTGGAAATCTGTTCCCCGGTGGAGGACGAATCTGTACTCGTGGAAACTTGCTCGGTACTGGGGAACGATTCTGTGCTGGTGGAGGTCGGTTGTTCGGTACTAGAGGACGGTTCTGTGCTCGTGAAAACCGGTTCGGTCGTCGAAGGGGTTTCAGGGGCTCCTGTGGTTACCGCGGGGGTGGAGTTCTCCGTGTCCTCGGGTAATCTCGGGGTCTGTGTGCTGTCCTGAATAGTGTTCGAGGTGGTGTCTGGGGTCTGTGGGCCGGTTGTCGCTACGGTGGGGCTTGTCGCGTCATTGTTAGCATTATCGCCGGTGATGTTAACGGCGGTGGCGTTAGAGTCTACCTGGGGAACCATGCCAACTTGTCGTCCCTCTTGCTGTTGCCCGCTCATGTTTCTCAGTAACTGTTCGTTCCTGATGCTGGCCGACTCCAACGCCTGATAAAGGGTCAAGAATTTCGACTGGCCAGGATTCGAGACATCGATGGGTGGTGCCGAACCAGTGTTCTAGAAACAAAAATTTTGTGCGTGCAAGGTGCTGTACAATACTATTATACACCGTATTGAAACAGGTATACGTGCTCTACGAGTGGTTCGACACTTTTCTTCTACGAAGTGGCTCCTCTCTGTTATTCTACGGTTTTTACGTTGTGTTCAACGCTTATCATGATCGGATGATATTTACAATGGAATCGTAAAAACACGCATGTTGTTCGTTCTTTCCAAGAATTTAGATTATGTTGGTGTTATGAATGAATGAAGTAGTTTTAATGCGCAAATTTATTGTTTATTGTTTGGCGGAGATTGATCGGGTCTCGTAATTGAGTGAGCATACACCATCTCTTGGTAAAGTTATGAACTAGGCACGGAAGAGGAGAAACCGAGGTTGCCTTAATACACTTAAGAAACACTGGTATTCAGTAAAGGCGAGGTAGAAACTCGTTCCTCGGGCAAAGGATCGTTTATAGAGACTGGCTTGCCCGTTCACTTCTATTTTTTCCTTTTTATCGGGATTTCTCATAGCTATTAATCCTCTCTCATAGAGGTCTCCAGTGATATGTCTTCAACAATGTTGAGATTGGATAAAATCGAGATGCGATTCCATTTAACAATTCAATTTCAAATATTCTCGATATTGAAAAACAGGATCAAGATAGGAATTAATTCGAAAATAACGTGTATATCTTTTTTAAATATTTGCATGTTAATGTTAATTATCTATATTGATATATAATTAATTTAAAATTTGGATTTTTTAAAGATTTGTTACAAAAAATCAAAGATCAAGATTGCAACAAGGAAAAATTAATTTGTGACCTTAAGTTGCGTATTTTTTTTTTCTTTTTTTGTCTTTGATCCACCTACATGTCCCAGATACCATTCACGTTAAGACAGTTTTAATGCATGCTTGTACGCGTTACGCAGCATCCATTTACTTTCACTCGTTATTACCTCGAACACTATGAAACGTACGAATCACGAAAATTTGCCTATGTAATCGGTATGTGCTCGAATTAGAAAGTCGAGTCTCGTTACGTATTCAAATGTAATGTAACATTTACTCGGTTGAAGAGTAACTTCAATGTTTATTCAATTTTCATAATTACGTGAATATAATCATGAGAGTATTCATTGAAGATGAAATCGTACAAAAGAATGAATATTCGCTATAATATTTTACGTATTTTACTTTATAATATTTCTCAAATATTATAAATTTTAATTATATTTTATGTTTGAAAAAATACGATGTTAAAAGAAATAAGAAATATTTAAGCAATATAGATTTTAAATTTAATGCTTTTACTGTAAAATGTAATTTTGTAATTCGTCGTTTCATAAGTGTAATAACAAACATTTTGTAATTCACTCAGTTATAATAAATAATGTATATAAAATTACAATGATAAATTAGAAATGCATCTATGTCAAACAATGTGGAACAAGGCAGTAAATATTTAACAATCTTAACGTACACATGCAAATATTATGTAGGAACATAACACATAAAATAGAGATAGAACTTTTGTGAAAAAATTAATTTCAATTGTATTTAAGTTTTTCAATTATTATTTTTTAATATCCACTAGAGATCTTGAAAATGATATACTTAAACTAAAATTGATAAAAAAAAAATTGGTTAATACTCCTCAATATTATATTTTTTTTATCTTAACACAATAATTGCAATAATTAAAAGAATAAATAAATGGTCTCTTTTGAATAAGAACGAACAACTGCATGTCGCGTGCGATCCAAGAACCAGAACATTTATTACCAAAAATATATATATATATATATTTATAATCTTGTATAACACAGTATCATGGTAATAAGTATCTGTACACATTAGTAAATGCAAACCCATTAAAACGAGTAACATATATTATAATAACTAAACGTTATTAATGGTTATTACACTTCAACACAAATTAATGATTATTATACTTTTTTGTTCATTTTCTTGTATTACTTATATCTTTTTTTTTTCTTTTTTTATACTTCAATTATATCTAACAATATCTAATATGAAAAGAAATATAAAAATCACATTAGAATGTATGGAATGGACAAGAAACAGATGTAATATATTTAATATTATTAATATTTGAAACGAAAGCTCGATATACGACAATCTTTCACGAACAATGAAACACTGAAAAACATTAATGGAATAGAAAAATGATTAATAATCATTAGTAATCACATCGAACGAAATACATTTCGAATGATATTAGTTCAACGCAGATTATTCGTATCGATGTCATTAGAATCGAGACTTCCGGACGGAGTTGTGATGACACCAATGTGATCGGTCCACGATGGTGGTGCGACTGCCCCGATCTCCTCGGCTACCTTCGTCGTGAAAACCTTTTAAGCACAGAAAAAACGACCACACTAACTCACTGTTAACTACAACTTTCTTCTGCCACGTAATCTTACCTCGATAATCATCGTCACGATCCATTTCTTTCACATACGACCTTCCATTATTCTCTAATTCTATTTTACAACTTTCTTTTATTAAGATTATTATATCGTCATTATATTACTATATACATTCTATTACTAAAAATAGTATTTTTAATATTTTCTATTTAAAATTTAACTTATTCTTAATCGTTATTAACTGCTAATATTATTATTATTCGAATTTTTTGCAAAATGCAAAATTGTTTAATCTCTTTATAATTTTTATATAAACTTTCTTTTTATTTAGTTGTTTGTTAGTACTTCCTGAATGTTTTTTAAATACTTTTTTAAGGTTCAATATCTTACCTCTATAGGTGTAACTGGTGTAGTCGATGAACTAGTGACAGATGGCACAGTGGGCTGATAAATGTTATTTTGTTTCCTGACAAACAATTCCGCTCCTTTGTATCTCGCGCTAAAACGGGGTGGTTGTCCATTAGGGGTGATTCTCGGAGAGGAATTCTGTTCAAAAACGAAACGACTGGTTATTACAAAATTGAGTGTCAAATTTATTAAACGAGCATAAATAACACATGTACAATTTTTTAAATATACAATGTTCCATAATTAAACAATATTAAATAAAAATTTGTTCAAATCTACGATTATTTCATGCTCCAATGGCTGTTTTATTGCCATATATATTAATTATACGAGCAAAATTTAATTCAAGTAATCGATACTCACCGCATTGTTAACATTACTGTAAGATCCGGAGAACACAGGTGTCCTGTTACCAAGAGAGTTCAACAACGGTGCCACAGTGCTTCTTAATTGTTCCAACAGGGTGTTGTTCCCAGCAAGGATCGTGCTTTTCGTGGGATTGAAGATATTCGAGTTACCACTGTCTCCATTGCTGCTGCCGGTAATTCCTGACGTCTCTTGCGCCGATTCGTTCGCGATCCTCAAGTTCACCTGCGGTTCCTGCCCTACCGATCGAGAAGACACCGTCGATGTCTTCAACGTGGCATGATACTTTGCCGATCGAGGCGTGATGGCGACTCCTACACCATCTATCTTGGGAGTTGAGCCGACTAAAGTCGTCGGAACCTCGGAGTGTCTTCGATAGGTGGCGGTTCGAGGTCTAAATTCGACTTTCTTTGTTTGCGATTGCGGTCCCCCCGTTATCACGGATTTCGATTTATCATCGACAGACTTCACCGCCGATTTTTTCCTCGAATATCTACTAGTAGGTACCGATATTTCTGTGGTAATCGTAGGTTGATCGATTGTCGTTCTCTCGTCTAAGAATTTATCCTTGGTTCGCTTAATGTAACGAGGTCTGAACGTGGGCTTGCTCACGCCGCTACCAAACTTAGATTTCTTGCTAAGATCCTCTTCCTGAAACGCTTGCGATTTTCTTTGCGCGGACCCGTTCGATTTCTTAGACGTCGTGGAATCTTGCTCCACCGTCGTGGACTGTTCCTGCAATTTACTGTTACGCGATAGGTAAGATTTTTTCGGTTTGATAGTCGTTACAGATTCGATATCCTCGGCACGTCGGGTAGAATACAGCGAGACTTTGGCGTTCTTGCTCGAGCTCTCTTCCCTCGATTTCTTCCCTCCACGAGCGTTGCCTGGACGAATCCTCGTCGAATCGATCGTTGTCGCCGCTCCCTCTTCCGCGAAACCGATGATCGACGGATTCGTGTAAGGTAAGTTCGCGTAAGGTTTGGTCGTTTCCTCTATTGGTGTCTCTTCGACCGAGATCGAGGTAACTATTTGCTCGCCGATGATCCGCCCTTTCTTTAAATTGTACGGTCTTCCTGTGACCTTGGAAGAATCCTCGACACCTTTCCTCGGACTAGAAAGTTTCGAGGCTTTCACGCTCGCCTCTTCCCAAGAGGTCTGTAAAGGGGTCGAAGCCCTATTTCGGCCCCCCGTTGCCTTTGGCTTGGCATATTTGGCGACCTTGCTCGTCTCATCGACCACCGGCACGCCGGTTGGCTTCGGTTTGCTGAAAGAGGAGGCCGTGGTTGCGTCGAGATCATTCTCCTCGATGTTCAACTCTGGCTTCACTAACCTCCTAGCCAGCTCCAACTTCATCCTCGATCTTTCAGCGAACAGAGAGGCCGATGATTTTTTCACCTGAAAGGGTCGTTCAAACAGCTCCGTTTTAGGATAGTGGTAAACCGCTATCGAGGCTAAAGCCGGATCCGGAAGCTCGAGCGGGGACTCTGTTAGTGTGCCACGGTCTCGACGGGCATTCCATCGACAGGAGACGTTCTCAAGGTCGCTCGGGAAGCATACACTCACGACAGGTCGGGGAACGAAGGTAGGTGGTTGTGGTGGTTCGATTAAGGGAAGACGACATAGAGCGCGGCCGTTATTTTCCTACATGAAGAATAGGAGCTTGAGGAAGCGCAGAAACGAGACGATCCAGGCCGCCATTTGGCTCGTAACGAGCTCGAGCCACGATTTCACTGTACTGGACAACAACTGGAAATGTTTAATCAATGTTTGTTATAAGATCAGACTCAAGACGAGGCTGCTATGGTTTTGGTTTTGATTTTGAGTGCAGAAGAGAGAGAAAAAGAGAGAGAGAGAGCGAGAGGTGTGAACACGATTGTTCATTTTGTGTGAACGATCCAAGGGGTGGGCGGTGACAATGCGCGGCTCTGACTAATCGATGTGATGAAAAATTAAAATAATGCAAGCCTGA